CCCCAAAACCCCAAAACCCCAAAACCCCATGATATTCAAATACTAGAAATTTATGACTTACAGAATTAAAATATAAATTAATTTGAAATGAACGAAATAAGAGAAGTATATACTGTAGGCTAGAATGCGTATGGAGAACTTGCTCATGGAGATAATATTGAAAGACACGTATTCACTCTAGTAGAATTTTGCAAAGGGATGAATGTCATCTAAGTGGCAGCTGGAAACGAACATAGTCTTATCCTTACAGAAAACGGTGATGTATTCTCAGGTGGATATAATGAAATGGGTAATTCTCTTTCTTAAAGTCCTAATGCACTCAACCCAAACAATAACAATAATAATTCCCGAACTGGTAATCTTAGATTAGTAGAAAAACTAAGAGGTAAAAACATAGTTAAAATATTTGCATCTAATGGATGTGAACATGTAGTTGCATTGACAAGTAAGCAAAACTTTTTTAATAAAAATTAATATCAGATAATGGAAAAGTTTATTCATTTGGATTTAATGTAAAAGGGTAGCTAGGTCATGGGGATTAAGCATCAATGAACTCTCCTAAACAAGTAGAGGCTTTATCAAGAAAATTTGTCACAACAGTAGGTTGCTCATATTATCACACAATATTCTCTTGTGCCGATGAAATGGAAATATATTCCTGTGGTAGAAATGACTATGGCTAGCTGGGCCTTGGTCATATTGAAGATAGGAATATCCCATCACTCATTGAATCACTTAACAGTAAAAAAATTGTATCTATCGGATGTGGATAGTACCACAGCGTAGTAACCACTGTTGATGGAGAAATTTATAGCTTCGGGAGAAACGATAGCGGTTAGCTTGGGCTGTCTGCTACTGAAAACTATGTTAGCACTCCGAAAGAGATAAAAAATCTAAAAAGCACTTAAATTGCCTGTGGCTATTATCATTCAGTAGCTATATCAAATGGATAATTATATAGTTGGGGTAAAAATGATTCCGGCTAGCTAGGAATCGGAATATACAGTGCAAAGGAAGTAATTCCGACTCAGGTTAAAGATCTAGAAGATTAGGAAATTGTACAAGTTGCTTGTGGTTGTTATCATACTCTTGCTCTTGGATGTAATAGATACTATTCTAATAATCTTTATTTTAGATGCTGGATAATTATTTGCTTTTGGAAGAAATAGTCATGGGTAACTTGGGGATGGTACCACTAACAACTCATGCAAACCATTATTGATTCAGGGATTATCAGACAAAAAAGTATGCTAAATAGCTGCAGGCTTTTACCACTCAATAGTGTTAGCTAATCCTGTAATAAGAAATCCTTTGGTAGAGGATTTTAAATGTCTTCTAAATAATTAAGAACTATCAGATGTCACTTTCATTGTTGAAGGGAAAAAGCTTTATGCCCATAGATGTATTTTAATGGCTAGATGTGAACCATTGGATAGAATGGTAAATGGAAATATGAGAGAAGCCTATGATTTGCAGATACAGATAGAAGATACCAGTTATTAATGCTTTTATTCGCTATTGGAATATCTTTATACTGAATAGGTTGAAGCTTTGAGTTAATTTGAGACAGATATCAATTTTGCTCTTGATTTGCTAAGTTTGGCTGACTAATACTTAGTTGAATAACTGAAAAAAAAATGCGAGGAGGCTATTCAAAAAAGTATTAAGATTGATGACGTATGTTTGATGCTAAATATTGCTATAAGTAGAGGGGCAAACTCTCTGAAAAAGAGATGCTTATCATTTATGATGAGCAATTTCTCTAAAATTATTGTGTTAGATTAATTTGTGGATTTACCAAAACATGTTCTTAAAGAGGTATTTAAGATGGCTAATAGAAGAGGTGTTTTTGTAAGAGAACTTTTATGATGTTGTTGTATATATAATTTTAGAAATATATTAATAGTTAAACTAAAAAATTAATACTCATTATTATTTTATTAATAGATCATTTATAGTTAGTCTTTTGTTCAAAAAAGCTGGGATAATATTTCCCTGCGGTCCACTTCCATTACTACTGCTACTCATATTTTAATTATATACACCTAAGATGTTATTGGGACGAGAGAAGGGTCTTTATATTTAATTTTATGATAGTTACTATTACTATGGATCGAGGTTGATTTAGCTACCATTGATGTTTTATAGTCCTTGCATCGACGGTTTGCTGTATCTACTAAAACCATTAGACTACATGCCAACATTAGTTTAAGCGCTTTTTGTTTATTAATGATTGGTTGTGATAGGTATCTGGTTTCTACCCAGCTTCATTGAGTTTGTGACAGTTGCAAAGTTTTATGATGCATTTTAGAATCCATTAGTCGCAGTTTTAAATGCCTAGTTTTGAAAACCTCCCCAAATAGTTTGTCTCATAGGATTTAGAGGAACTTTATCAGATTCATTTTATCTTTCAATTGATCTATCCTCAAATTATTAATGAGGATAAAGATTTTGAGAATTAATTGCATCAAGTAATTTGCTCTATACAGGAGCCACTGATGCTCTCTTATCATTTGTCATTTATTATGGAGTCTTTTTTTTCTCATCTGAGTATAGATACCTTTTTGAAGATACTTCTGGCAAAATTGTCGCTTCCTTCTCTTTTTCATTAAAAGTGTTTGATTGCTGTATTGGCCTAACTTAGGCTTTGGAATTGGTTGAAGTCATCTGTGTCAACACTCTAAATGTAGTTCCTACAGTAGTAGTTACATTTTCATATGAAAATTATCCTTGATTATTTGGAAAATTACTTTAATCATTCTTCTTACTATTATTAGTAGAGTGGGATATATCACATTAATTTTAGACCTAGTTCTATTGATTATTCATATGCTAATAAAAGTTTTATTCAGTTTTACTGTGATAAATGTTATTTAGCTATGACTCATTTGCCTTATTGGGATCTCTAAGTGAACTTACACCAGGTATAATCTTTCTTGAAGAATTGTTTGCTTAAGAAGCCTATCTTCTTGCATTTTAAGAACTTTGAAGTAGAGTTCTTTTTTAATTATAATCTTGGAAATGTTATTGCTGCTATTAAAATGTGATATCATTTTAGCTGTCTTTACTTTGATCACCAATAGCTCCACTAGAGTATCTATGTATGTTCTGGTTAACGTATGATGAATTTCTTTAGGAAGAGGGGGCCTCATATTCCACATTTTAGCTTTGCACTTATTGAATTCTCGGTTTATACTATTCTTATCTCGGTGTATTGAATTAAAATGCAGAGGATTCGCTATAATCATTGTTATTAGCACTGATATTTCCATGTCTCAAAGTCTCTTAACTTTGAACTATGTGTAAAAGAGTACTAATCGATTAACCTCAATCAGTATCTCTGTTATTTTCTAATTACTGATCCTACTATTATTATTTTTAAACGCTTGTTATTTTTTAATACAACTTCTTTACTTATGAAGTCTTAGGTCTTGTGCTCTCATTAGTTGGAATTTAATTCTTTGGCTCTCCTTAGATGATGATCCTTTTATTTTGAGAGTTAGGAATAATCTACAAAAATCTACTTTAAGTAGCTCTTTCATAAAATTCATTATTAAGCATCAAATTCTGATTAGACTACTAATTTTATTCTTTTTACTATATATCTAGATTTACTAGGTTTTTACTATGAGTAGTTTCATATTATCCCGCTGCTATCAAAACTTGATAGATAAAATCTAATTCATTAGCCCCAGTATGACTTGGTTAAAACTTTAGATTCAAAAATACTTGTTCTCTATACTACCTTATCACCTCCTCCGCAAAATATTTATTAGGCTTTCTCAGGATCTAATTTATATAAGGTCTTCCATTGGGATCTTTTTATAGCAAGATATTGACTACAAAGTTTTATAATTTTTCACTATACTCAGATGGTAGCTTTTTAGGTTGCTCATTGATGATTTTAGCTCCAAGTACTTATATGTTCTCGCCTAGAAAAGGAGGTTCAAGTGCTGCTAAATGAAATAAACAGCATCCCACAGCCCAAGTATCTACTTTATAGTCATAAGGCATTTATCTAACAACCTCTGGACTTAAATAAAGTGGCGTACCAACTCTTCCGATTTTGGCATCATTAGGTACTGAAAATTAATCAACTTTAGTTCTTGCCTTTTGTTACTATGAATTAGGTTGACTATCAAAAAGATTTCCTGAGTTTGATTGATGAACCTTTGAAACTCCTAGATCCCCTATTTTGATTGTACCATCCTCAGACAACAATATATTCATGCATTTGAGATCTCTATGTATTATTTTCTAAAAATGCAGATAACCTACACCTAGACAAATCTAAAATGCCATGAGCCAGATGTCACTTTCAGGAATATGCTCTTTTTTATCTCTTTTTGCTTTAAGGAATTTATGTAAGTCTCCTTTTTCTGCATATTCCATGATAATAAATAAACATTCGTCCTCCATAAATGAATTATAGTACCTAAAAATTTTCTTAACAAAAAAATGTCAATACTTTATAATATGAGGATTTGCAAGTCTTCTTAGTAATTGCACCTCTCTTAATGCTTCTTTTTTGTAATTTGGCTTCAAATTGTTGAAATTTATTCTTTTCATCACATAGAACATATTATTTTTCTTTGATTTTACTTTGAAAACTATTCCATGAGCACCTTTTCCTAGTTCTTCTACAATTTCAAAGTCAGCACTCGAACATCCGATTCGCTTAGAATACTCGTTATTTGTTGGGTTTACTATTCTGTCATGGTGTTAAATAAGCAACTGTAGATCCTGGGATGAAAAACCTAGGAAACTGTTCCCAGTTGAATTTTTATGAATAGCTTAATGCATTTATTGAATTGACATTAAAATAAATATAAACTTAAAAAATCAATATTCATAATTAATCTTATCTTTGGGGTTTTGGGGTTTTGGGGTTTTGGGGGGAGATGAATGTTG